AGTTGTGTGGATTCAGGCCATTCTTACAGCATGAAATGGCATGTCACTGTGGTTGATTGACACTTCCTTGGTGACATGACTGGGAGCATCCCTCAGATGATTGCTCATCCTCATCTTCTGTGGTGGTATCTGCTGAGTTCTGTCCCATGTTGTAACTGAGTTGTTTTCTTACTGCTGAGCTGCTGGCACTCTTGCATGTTTATTTACATAGATCTTTGGCTAACATTTTTTCCCAGTCTATGGCTTATTTTTTAATTCAGTGTTTCTTTCAAAGAACAGAATGTTTAATTTTAATTCATGCATCCTGGCTTTGGTGTTGCATTAAAAAGCCATGCCAACCCAGGACCACGTAGCTCTTTCCTGTTATCTTGTAGGTCGGTTTACACTTGGGTCTGGGATCATCGTGAATGAATTTTTCTGTGTCTAGATTCACTTTGCTGTATGTGGATGTCCAGTTAACAAAAAGGGTGGTCATTTATTTATTCACCAAGAACCCACATGGTCCTGCACAGAGTAGGTGATCCACAAAACCTAACAAAGAATGAATGAGCCTTTCCAGAAACACCCAGAAGAGACTAACATTGTCCATCCAAAAATAAACTCACCCCAGGGTTCCTGGCTATGCCAGTCAGACATGTCTATGAGCTGCGTCTGCCTTGGAGAATTGATACCTGTGTGAGGTCTGCTCCTTGGGCTGCCCTCAGCCTCAGCTGCTACTTGCCCTCTCTTGGGACATCGTCCCAGCTCTCATAAAAGGCCAGAATGGGAAAATCAGGCAAAACCAGAGGCAGTGGGGTTGCTCCCCACCAGCTGCACTATAGTAATTTGGATGACAAAATCTAATCAGACACTGGACTTGGAATTCCAAATCCTTGTTGGTGGCCCTATTAGGAAGCTCAAGGGCAGGCCGTGGAGAGCTGTTGACATTGGATCTGATGTATTTGTGGTGTGCATATTTTTCTGTGGATAGATTTCACAGCCACCCTCAGATGCTTGGAAGTTCTGTGACCTCCAAGAAAGCCAGGCTGAAAGTATCAAAGTGTTAAACTGTGGGTCTGGGGTTGTGGCTCAGTGGTAGAGTGCTCATCTAGCACAAGTGAGGACCTGGGTTCGATCCCACATACAAATAAATAAAATAAAAGTATTGTGTCCAACTACAACTAAAAAAAATGTTTACAAAAAGTGTTAAACTGGTATGGTTGACACAGTAGGAAACTAACTCGATTGATTTAAGAGCATATAGAACTTAGGGAAGTAATTTTTAACAAGTTTTGGGAGGGACTGGGAGAACTTTCTTCTGCGAGGGCAAATGTACATGTGCTGGTGTCATACAAAGCAGAGTCACAAACTGGACCACTTCTGCTGTGTGGCCTGGCTGAGGTTTGGCCTCTCTGGACCACACATGTCCCTACCAGTACTTTCCCTGAGGGAGTCCATGATGAGAAGTTCTGGGCCTAGCAAATATTAGGGCTGACAGTTCTTGGTGATTAGGTAGGAAACTTAAACCTTGTTTTACAGACAGAGGAAGATCAGTTCAAAGTTGCAGGAGACACAGGTATATCAGCAGGTGGCCCAAGGAGGATTCCTCTGACTTCAAACAACCTGGAAACAAAATTGTGTATCTGCAGCAGAACTCACTTGGAGGGAAAAAAGCAAAGCAATCTTACATAATCCTTAGCAGTCGTCTTACTTTAATCACATATTGCTTTATGTCGAGTTTCGCAACTGAACACTCAGGGTCACTCCAGGTGAACTGGGCAGCATGAAATAATCACACAGAGAGAAATGCCTTTTTCTTTGGGTCCTATGACGGTTCCTCTAACCTTAGGGGTCTGTGAAAAAGAGAGTGAGGGGCACGGGCTGACCCTTTTATTGAGGAGAAGCCACCCAAATGAGGCCAGGGGTCAGGTTTCAGGGGGCTGAGTCTAGCTTCATGATGTCCACTGTCAGCAGGTTGACTGACACCTAGGAAGGCCTCACACAAAGGCAGAGCAAGAGAAGGGGACACACAAAGGGCGTTTCCATGAATATTCCATTCCAAATAGGGCACAGGGGTAGGATTACAAAAGAACAGGTGAGTGTAGCTCAACCCCAGGGTGTGCCTACTCAGAAGACTGGCCTTGCTATCTGAGTGGGGGAGAGTCCGAGTCACGAGTCATGGCACTACAGCGCCAGATTGCAGTGATCTTTCAGATCCCCGTGGTGCATCAGGACTGGAAGGTGTGGTGACTTATGTGGCTCCCCACAACTTTATATACTTGATCATTTATAAACATTTAGGGTATCTAAGTTCATCATTATATGGTTAGTTATGTTTTATATTTTGAAATTGGTGCAAGTATGTTATAAAAGAAAGACAATAAGCAATGCTGGTGTTGTCAAGACTCAAGATTCTTCAGTGTAGCTGTAAAATGAGAGGTAAAACCCTACATCTTACATTTCATTTGGGAATATCTGAACTCTTTTTACAGAGAAATACACATTTCCTGCTCTCCCTATTCAAAGCCCTGGCAGGGAAGAAATCCAGGAGCACCACCAGACTGTGCTCTCTAAACACCGTCTTCACATCTAGTGTTGTGATGTGTGTTGAATGTCCCCCAGAGGCCCTTGTGTTGAAGGCTTGGTCCCCAGCTGTGGTGCTACTGGGAGGTGGTGGAACCTGTAGGAGGAGGGCCCCACTGGGGGGAAGCTGGGGCATTGGGGGGTGTGCCCCAGAGGGGTTACTGGGACCTCAGCCCCTGGGTTTCACTTTGCCACCATCAGGATGTACTTTGCTGCCACAGGCCCAAAGTAAGTGGGCCCAGGGACCAAACTGAAGCCTCTGAAACCACGTGCACTTCCTGCCCAAACCATGCCTTAGGAGGAAGCACATGGCGGAGCCTGGGCCTCACGGCCGGAAAGTCGAGGACCTGATGGGACCCCAGGCCTGCAGGGGCAGTTCTGAGGCCCCTCAGCCAAAGGCAGACAAGGTGGGTGTCAAGAAGCATCCTGCAGGGCTGGGGCCATAGCTCAGCGGCAGAGCGCCTGCCTAGCATGTGTGAGGCCCTGGGTTCCTCCTCAGCACCACATAAAAATAAGCCAATAAAGGCAATCTGTCCATCTCCAGCTACACACACACACAAAAAAAAAAAAAAATTAAAAAGAAAAAGAAAAGTCTTCTGCAATTGACTGAAACAAGTTACCAAGCTCAGAAGGAGACTGCCCACCTCACCCCTGGCCACTGCCAGAGCACCGTGTTAGACAAGCAGGCTTCCCAGTTCAGCTTTACCCAAGATAACCACTGCCCTTCACTTTCAATAGGGTGTTCAGCTACACGAGGGTCAGACCTGAGTGTGAAGCAGGCTTGGCCCCACTGCAGGCCAACCGGTTGGCTCTGTGTGTGTGTGACGCAGGCTGGGGGAGGAGCTGCATTTTCCCACTTGGGATACTTTCTACCCCGACTCAGTCATGGCACTGTAACCACATCGTTGGTCAAGGGCCACTCCATTCTGGAAACTGATTAAGGGGAAAACAGATATTTACCTCTTTCCTGTCCAAATGGTATTTCAAGGTAATCAAATGGATAAGGAAGAATCCTTTAGTCTTCCAACCAGTAAATGCAGAGAACCGAATTCTTTTTTTTAATATATATTTAGTTATACATGAGCACAATATCTTTATTTATTTTTATGTGGTGCTGAACCCAGTGCCTTACATGTGCAAGGCAAGCACTCTGTCACTGAGCCACAACCCCAGCCCCAGAATTCTTAAAGTAACTACTTTGCCATCATTCAAGTATTCAAGCCAGGCGCGGTGGTACACACTAGTTATCCCGGAGACTCGGGAGGCTGAGGCAGGAGGATTGCAAGCTCAAAGCCAGCCTTAGCAACTTAGAGAGGCCTTAAGCAGTTTTGTGAGACCCTATCTCAAAATAAAAGAATTTTAAAACGGCTAGGGATGTGGCTCAGTGGTTGAGAGCCCCTGGGTTCAATCTCTAGTACTAAAAAGGAAAAAAAAAAAAGAAGTAGTACCCAATTCAGGTGACTATTTGATCAGTAGCTGACAAAAACCACCAGGTGAAAGACCAACAGTCGGACTGACACCTGGATAAACATACATCCCGTGTCTCCTTGGGGGCATCGCCTAGGTGACTTCCTCCAGTTCTCGGGAAATAAGGGGGACAGCAGAGCATGACCAATACCACCAGGAGGAGGCAACCAGGCAAAGCCAGAGCAGGGACACTCCACAGGACAAACAGCCCTTGGCTTCCCACTGGAGTAACAGGAGGCCTGGACCGCGCGAGCTGTAAAGAGGGTTCTTTGGGCTGGTGGCCTCAGGCCCCAGAGCATGGTGCCAGCACACCTCAGCTCGTGGTGCGGGCTGTGAGCCGTCACTTTGTGGTGAAGGCAGACGGCAGAGAGGCGAACTCATCTGAACCATGACCCAAAAGCAAAAAGACATTTTTAAGGCAATCAGGGGAACAGGAATATGGAACAGGATTAGATACTAAGAAATCACTGGAGATTTGTTAGGTACTGTGATGGTTAACTTTATGTGTCTGGACACCTGGCTGTGTCCAGACAACTGGTCAAATATTATTCTACAGGCTTCTGTGAAGGTGTTTTTTTGAACGAAATTAATGTTTAAATTGGGGACTTTAGCAGATCACCCTCCATGTGGGTGATGGGTGAGCATCACCCAGAGTTCACCTGCAGACCTGGCCTGAGCAAGGACCCTGCCAGCACACTGCCAGCCACTGCCACCTGCAGTCGTGGGACCTGCTCCTCCACTGCCACAGGAGCCAGCTCCTAGATGTAAATCTCTGCCCACACGGGGCTGGACAGGTCTGCTCTCCTGGAGAAGCCCGAGCAGCACACACGAAACTGCTGCTCAAATGCAGCACACACGAAACTGCTGCTCAAATGCAGCAGCAGCTCTGAGCTGGAGCTGGGAAGCATGGGGCTCCCGAGGACGGATGCAGCGAGATTGCACCATGGCGTGCAAGTTGCTCGGCACTTACCTGACATTTCTCATAGTGCAAGGTTTATTAAAAGGGAGGAAGAAGCCACCATACCTCTCGCAATCTGATAGACCTTGGGAAGCCCTTCTAGTCTGGCAGACCTGAGGCAGGACCAGCCCTGTCCTAGTCTCTGGGGGAGGAGGGTAAGGCCTAGTTGTGCTGGCACCTAGTTGTCCTAGCACCTCCCCAGATTTGCACAGGGACCAAGGTGCTCCTGGGAAGATGGGACCAGAACCCAGAGGCCCTCCCTGAGGACTGGGGTTAGTGATGCAGAGGAAGCGGGAGTGGCCCCAGCGGAGACCTGGCAGAGACCAGCTGCTCCTGAGGGAAACTGTGGCGAGGGGCCAGGCCAGGCCTGGGCGGCCTATCCTTAGGCAGGGGCCATCTCCGCCTCTGGACTGAGCTTCTCCCAGCTGCAGGGAGTGGGCCACCTGGCCTGCTTACCCTGCGCAGCTGGCTCCCAGGCCTAGCCACTTGGGCTGAGCCACTGGGTTCCTGATGTTGTCATGGGAGGGGGCTTCCCAGGAACTTGGTCAGCAGGATGGGGCTGGTCTGAGGCCTTTGGTTTTGAGACTAATGTGTCTCTATTTTGCCTGCCATGCTGCTGAAGGGACTCAGAAAAGCAGGCCAAGGCCCATCCAGTTCAGGGCCTTGGTGTTGCTGCCCTGGGGCACAGGAGGCGGGCTCTGCAGGGACAGGAGAGTCCACACGGGGAAGCTGTGACACAATAAGAACTCTTTCTGGGAACTTCTGAAGATCATATCCATTTGGAAGTCAGGAACAAGCCTAGCCTTGGGCTACTCCCAATGTCCTCATCTCACCCAAACAAGGGGCTTAGGCCGGTGCCAATGTCCCAGCACTACCAGCACTTCACCGGGTGAGTGAAGGAACTACTGATGCACTATGGGAGCCCCGAGGGCAGTCTTTGGCCATCTGTGACGTGGACTGCGGTACCTATCTCTGCCACCAGTCACGAGGCCCCTGTTGGGACGGGCTGTGCCAGTGCACATCTCCACCGCTGGCTCTCCCTCAGCCAGAGGTCGTGAGCACCAGTTCAGCCTGCCAAACTCAGGCCTGTGTTATGAGTGCGTGAAGCCAGGAATGTCTCCAAACATCCAGAGAAAAGGGTAGCACGGAGCAAGAGGCCACAGCCAGGGCCAGGGCCTGTCCTCCTGGGACTCCCGATTTCCTCAGAGGGGCCTCTGGGGCCAGCCTTGCTACTGTGGATGACAGTGGGGACCACAGCTTGCTATGGCTCCCACACCAGGATGGACACCAGTCCCCTGGTCAGCCTGGGGATGAGGGTCTTGTCACACATAGTCCAGAATCTCCGTCTCCATCTCGTTCTCACTCCCATCTGAGGGCTTGAAGTCCTCCTCTTCTTCTTCCTCTTCCTCTTCCTCCTCTTCATCTTCCCCAGACTCGAACATCAGCTGCCCTTTTGCACAGTCAGCTTTGGCTGGGCTAGAGAAGAGTGCTGGGCCAGAAGGAAATCAGACAGTGTGTCCCATGTGGGCTTCGCAGGTGGCCCTCAATGGGATGCAGGGCTGCTGAGAGCCTGCTTCCCATGCTAGGTACTGGCAGCTGTGGGAAGCACTGGGGGCCCAGGAAGCTGCAGTCTAACAAGCATCCCAGGGGACACGGAAGCAGGCAGGTTTGAAACCTCTGTCCCAGCAGAGCCACGGGTGGCCTCCAGGCCCACCTTCATCTCTGGGAGAGGTGTGCGGCCTTGACTGGATTCCCAAACGGGCTGTGTCTGCGACTTAAGCAAGACCACTAGCCTCTGCTCTGGCCCTATCCTGGGAAGAGCCCCAGAGGCCCCATCACTCTCCCAACCTCCTCAAAGCACAGCCCAGCAAGTGCTGGCCCTGTTTCCCCAGTGGCCAGCCCTGACCCCAGTTGGGGAAGGAGCCTGGGAAGGCAGAGCAGCAATGGGCCACAGGCTCCTCCTGTCCCTGCTCCCCACAGTGGAAGAAGCCAGGGCAGAGTCAGCCCATCCACGGCTGGAGGATGGAGAAGAGGTCAGGGCATCAGGCAGAGGCCTTGGATTGGAGCCCCATCCCTGCCTGCTTCTGCCTCGGACCCAGGGCCCAGGGCCCAGGGCCATGACTTCCACCCAGGCAACCTCAGTTGGGACACTGGCACCTGGACTAGGTCCTGGTTCTCCAGGCCTCCCTCCCAGATGGCCTCCCTTCACCCCATGCTCTTACCAGGCCTCTTGGAGCGGATGGTCTGCCGAATCATGATGGACATGGTGTCCCTCAGGTCATCGCTAGTCTTGGGGAGGCACCACCCATCCCGCTCTGTGCACAAGTCCTCTGCCCCGTCATTGCGGTGAATGATCTTCTGCAACCTGTGGGCAGGAAGAGGTGTGGGAAACTGGCAGGGTCTCTCTCAGGATGCAGGGGGCAGTCTTGGCAGGGTTTCTCTCAGGGTGCTGGGGATGATCTTGGCAGAGGTGGCACTGTGCTGAGAAACAGCCCTCGGTGTGGTCTGCAGAGTGGCCAGGCAGTGAGGTGGAGGGGCCACATGCTCCCAGCCAGGTCCTAACCTGCGAGACCCTGGCCCCAGCTGCACGTGAGCTGGGTGTGTGCCACACACACTTTTCTGACAGGAGTCTGTTTTTTCAGATTAGAAGCCGTTTTCCCCTGCTGCCCCGTCACCTTTATCCCAGTGCCCCACTCCTCAGACTTTTTGGACATCACTTAGCACAAGTGGACCAAAGGTTCCTGGAATTCTGACTGGCTGTGGAGTTAGGAACTGTGTCATGGACCTCAGGTGGGCAATGGTGGGGCTGCAGGGCAAGGGTACCCCGTGCCCAGCCCTGGTACCAGGCACGGTCAAGGCTGGCACAGCTGGGGCCTGAGGCAGGGCCCTCAGCAACACCCACTAGAGTGCGGGTCTTCTTGCTGAGAGTTCCGTGCCAGCACCCAGTGGAAGGGCTGCAGAGACGCTGGTCCCCAGGGACGTCCCCACACTGCCCAGAGTCCCACAGGCCCCTGTGTACATACTCCTCCACGTTCAAATCACACAGCTGGTAGAACATCTGTCGATAGGGCGGCAGGGCCCCCTCCCGGAAAATGTAGACTGAGTCCTGGGGAGAGGGAGAGAACGGCAGCTAGCCAGAGCCTGGGCAGGCAGTGGGAAAGGCCCAGGCTGCAGGACCTGGGTCTCTCCAAGAGGATGGTCACCAGGACCAGGGGACAAACAGGCAGAGCTGGGGAGCAGATATGACAGAGCCAGCTGACTCCCTGGGGGTTCTGGGAGAGCGGTGAGGAGAAGCTGCCAGCTTACAGCACGGGGCTGGCAGCAGCCCGTGCTGGCCTTTGCCCTCTGTGCCTTCCTTCAGGACCTGGCCATCCACTCCTCATCGACTGCTGCTTGCTGGTCACTCTATGTCCCCTGCATGCTGCCCTGATGTCTCAGGAGGAAGGCAGGGCTTCATGGGTTCTAGAGACAGGGACAACTGCCTGAGTTCTTGAGAGGAAGGAGGCTCCCTCAGGCTGGCACAGCCACCCTCACCCAGCAGAGTGCTAAGGTCTGGAACACCCAGCAGGCCGGGCACAGGGGCCTGCGTGCTGCCCCTGCTGGCCTCACACTTAGCCTCCCCCAGGCAGGCCTTCAGGGTGGGGCACCTGCTGGCCTCCCTAGGACCACGGCGAGCACCACAGCCCGGGGGTGGAAGGCTTAGGAAGTGCCGAGGGCTGCTGGATGACACCAGTGACGGTGTGCACCTGTGGGCTGGCCCCTCCCAGCTCCCAGCCAGCCTCCACTGGGCCCCAGAGCTCTGGTTTGGCTCTGTAGCACCTGTGTGCCCGATGCCCACCACCCAGGTGGCAGCTACAGGCCTCTGTGGGGCCCAGGCTCATGAGGGGCAGCCACACACAGCTGCTGGATCAACACCTCTCTGCCAAGGGGCCCTCAATCCCCATGGCCCTGGGGGGTTCATACCCTGAGTTCTCACTCTCAGTTTCTGGAAGGTCCCAAGGCAGGCAGGCAGAGGACCACCTCAACCAAGCCATTCCCAGTGCCCCCCACAATGCCAGCCCTGCCCACAGCCTCTACCCCAGCCAGTGGGCTGCCCTCCTTGGGCTCCGGGACACCCACCTTGAGTTTGTACTTGTTGGAGGCCAATTTCCGGGGGCCGGCTATCCCTGACGGGCCCAGGCCTTGCTTCAGGTCATGCATGGTGACAAGCTGGGTGGCTGCACAGGGCAAGGACAGGGCTGAGGCAAACGGGCGGAGACTGCGAAGACCATCCAGCACACCCTCCTGTGCCACCAGGAGAAGGGCCAGTAGTAACCCAGAGTGAGCCCCATCCTGCCACCCCGGTGCCCACCACCCCAGTGTCCCTCCTGCTGGCTGCATGCATGGGCCTAGGCACTTACGTGTCTTCTTGACAGTGATGGGAAGGCTGTAGTTGTAGGTGCTGCGCTTTGCTTTGACAGGCATGTCACCGGAGCCATATCCTGCAGATGAGGGTGGGCATGTGGGAGGTGCCAGGCCCCCCGGATGGCAGCTAGGGCCTTAGGATTCACAGGCTAGCTCCTGTGAAAGCAGACCCAGGCCACCACACCATAGGGGAATGGGCACTGACACCCGTGTTGTCCTGCTGTGGTCCTGAGTTAGACACTTAGCAGGGCAGGCCTCATGTCACATAACCACAGGTCACTGTGGAACTGCAAACTAGGGACTGTGGCTCAGAGATGAGGGTCAGCAGTGCATAAGGACAGGCTAGGACCTTTGTTTCTGCTACTGTGACCCACAGACTCTCTACCAAAAGAGAAGGCTCAGGACAGAAGGCGGCAGAGGGGACGGGGAGCAGAGCTCTTCACAGCTCACCATACTTCATCCCACAGCGGAGTCGGAAGTCGAGGACTTGGTAAATCTTGGCCTCTGGGTGTTTTCGGGGGTCATATCCAAATCTAATCCACAGGCTCCTCCAGGGCCCCGTTATCTGGAGACAGAAAAGGCAAGTATTAGGTGGGCCAAAACCCAGGGCCCTTGTGTCAGGGCAGGAACCAAACCCTGTGCTGAGGCAGCAGACCCTGAGAGCTGGGGACAGGACTCTGAACGCCCACCCTGCTCAGCCACCTTGACAGGCACCCTGCCTCCAAAGCCTCAGGCTGCCCACCAATGGAGGTCACAGAGCATCTTCCTCCAGGTTCTGGGAGTCACCTGAGACCAGGAGCCCCTAACAAGGGCTGGCACAGGGCCAAGTGCTAGCACTGTTCAGGTGCACAGGCCATCTTCTATCTGGGTGGTACCCCTGAAGGACTTAATGCTAAGACACCAATGCTAAGTGACAGATGGTGATTCTCCAGGGTCTGGAGTCCAACAGAACAAGAGAACTGGCTTTCCTTTTGCTCTCACCAAAGTCCTGGTCACATTGTATGCATTGTATGCAGCTCCCCCATACATGGGACCCTTGGCAGGTAAGATCCCTTTCCTCTGGCACCTTTGGAAACCTCAGTAATGCCACCCCGTCTCCATCCCCCTCCTGGGACGAATCTGCCCCACTCCGGTGTAAGGAGCTGAAGCGGGTGGCACTGTAGTTGGGGTCCAGGACCTGTGGCTAGATGGCTGAGGCCCCAGGTGGCCTTGCAGAACCTTGATGTGTCACATCACCTCTCTGAGCCTGGGCTTTTCCCTAGGGATGATAAAGAACGTGATGGGCCCCCAGTCTCACACAGCGCCTGGTCCCTGAGAGCTCTCACTATCTGGTTCTACAGCACACAACCTTCACCCACGAGCCAAGGAGTTACTTCACCCTGAATCCTCCAGATAGGCCAAACGTTACTAGGGATTGTGAGTGCGTCATGGACATGGGCAGCTGGAAACCTCTCTAGTGGCTTTGACAAGCCATCTGGGGTGCAGGACAGGGGGAAGGGTGCCAGGAGACAGGGTCTCCTGCTCTGCTGTGGCTCTAAGACATCGTGTCAGGGATCCAGGATCACACTGGTGGGAACCAGGGGAGGTGTTGGGCTAGCTGACACTTACCATGTAGTAAGCCACGAAGGGAAGCAAGACCTTGAGCTTGTCAGGGTGGACACTGATGTTGGCCTTGACAGCATTTCGTGACCAGATGGGACGGATGTCAAATAGCTGGGGAGGATCAAGGGCAGAGCCTGTGGTAAGTACCAGTGGCCCCCACCCTCCTGCCCAGCCCCAGCAGGCCCTTCCAGTGGGCAGCCATGGGAGCAGGCCATAGCACACAGGCACTCACCCACCTGCTGCTCAGTCACCCCTTCCCTCCTCCACCCCTCCCTCTCTGAGGCACAGATTGGAGCCTTGCACATGCCAGGTCCAACCATGGGGCCTGGGATCCTGGAACGGCCACAGGACATGGTCCCTGTCCTCATACAGCTCACACTGCAGCAGCTGCAGGCCTGTGAGGCGGTGTGCTGGAGCCCCAGGACTCCACACAGTCCCAACCCGGAGGGTGGGTGCCTGGGCTGTGACACCACAAAGACAAGGAGCTGGTGCCACCTGATTCTTTCTGGTTGTATGTTTCTGCAATTTTTTTTTTCCTAACAAGCACAGTTTACTGTCACAATCAGAAAAATAGTTGGAAGAGGACAGCTGGAAACGCAGAGGGGCCGACCGTCTCTCAGCAGTGCTCAGGGACAGGGTGACTTCAGCTTAACCAGGGAAGCAGGCTGGTCGGGAGGACCCTGTCCCCACAGCACCACAGCCAGAGGACAGGTGCAGTGGCTCCACCCGGGGCAGAGGCATCATGGGCATGTGGCTGCAACGGGTCCAGGGCTGCAGGAAGGCCATGACGCCAGCTCCACGTGGGTCTCATTCTAGCACCACGCCCTCCCGGCTACCCCAGGGGCCACTCGAGCACCCTCAGAACTTCCTGCCTCAGGACTGCAGAACTTGTGGGGCAGGCTTTCAAATGCTACGTCTGGTGGTGAAAAGCTCCCGTGTACTACTGGGTAGCACAGCCAAGCCACAGTGCTAGGGGACGGGAGCAGCTGGGTAAACGGGGTCAGGGCAAGGGGCCCGTGGGCTGGTAGGGCACAGCCTACCTTCCTCAGCGCCTCCTCCACCTCCCGGTCTGCGGGGTTGGTGCAGTTCTTCTTCCATGTCTGCGCAGCAGCCTCCAGTGGCTGCACAGGCACCTCTGTGTCCTCGAAGTTGACAAAGATGGCATTGTGGGGGCGCCGGGCTCTGCTCAGGCCGATCAGGTTCTCACCTGAGAGTGGTGGGTTGTTGTAGCCTTCCCTGGGGCACAGAGGTTGAAGGAGAAGCACTTAGGCCTGGCCAGACAGAGAGGGCCCATTGCTCCCTCTGCTGCCCACCTCCTGCCTCCTATGGTGGCTTCCAGCTGGAGCCATATGTCACCATGATTCTAACTGAGTTAGGGGTCACAGGTTGTTGTCTGCAAAATCAGCAGGACTAGCCTGGAAGGCTCCAGAGAGGAGCGAGAGGGGCTCAACACCCTTGAGATGGAGGGTCCCTCAGGCTGGCAGCCTCCCCACACTCAGGGAGGGACCGTGAGGCAGCAGCCAGCCCAGTGCACCCAGGAAGGCAACAGCGCAGAACGATCGATAGCAGCCTGGGAAAAAAAACAGGTTCTTTCCATCTGTGGAAAACCAATAAATCCCAAGGGAGGGAACGCGGCCCAGGGGTACTACCCCCCACCTCAGTCCACCCCTGAGGCTTGGAAACAGCTGCCTTCTGGGGCAGGACAGGGACTTGGGCTGCTCCCAGTGCCTGCAGACATGGCACAGAAGTGATCCACTTCCTTCTTTTATATATTTGTTTGTTTCTGACTTTATGGGGCTGGGGCTCAGCGGTAGAATGCTCACCTAGCATGGGCGAGGCCCTGGGTTCGATCCTCAACACCACATAAAAATAAATAAATAAAATAAAGGACTGTGTCCAACCCAACTAAAAAAAATTAATTAAAAAAAAGAGTAAATTGCTTGTAGGGGAACGGAACCACAACATTTCAGAAATGTTACTTTAAATTGTGTCACCAGCTCCCCACTGAAATCCCGCGTGGGGGGGGGCTGGGGGGCTCCTGATGCATTATTCTGCACAAGGTTTCAGCAGGGAGCTGGTGCCACCTGATTCTTTCTGGTTGTATGTTTCTGCAATTTTTTTTTTCCCTGTCACAATCAGAAAAATAGTTGGAAGGGGACAGGGGATTGACAGAGTAAATAGACTTGGGAGATATCAATCAAAAGCAATGTGTACAGCCCTCCTCTGGCTCCTGAGTAGCTTTAGAGACAACTGAGGAAGCTGAAGGAGGCCCTACACGGGCGCCACAGCAGGAGAACCCTGAAATCCGCATGGTGCAGGACTCTGGTGCAGGTGTGTAGAGGGGCACAAAGTGGTTTCTTCAGGTAGCTGGGCCACCGGGCGAGGATGGGCACAGGTAGCGAGGGAGTGAGGGCAGTAGGAATCGCTCCCAATGACCTAGACATTTCTATTCTAACTTCCGACCATATTTTTTAAACTCTGTCTCCCTCCTTCCCTCCTTCCCTCCCTCCCATCCTCCTGCCCTCTCTTGCTTTCAAGATGGGGTCTTGGTATGTTGCCCAGGCTGCCACGAACTCCTGGACTCAAGTAATCCTCCTGCCTCTGAGACGACCAGCATGTGCCACCGTGCCTGGCAGAGAATAATGCCCCTCTGAGGTTATGATCAAAGCCACTGCCAGAGTCTAGGCCACACCCCACAAGCCCTTGGCCCTCGGATACCAGCTCTCGGTCCTTCCTTTGCATGTGCCAAATCCCTGGTCTGGAATGTTCTCCCAGATCTTCACCTGCCTGGCTCTGTCACTCAGACTTTGGTTTCCAACACCAGCTCCTCTTGAGCCCTCAGCCCTCCCACCCTCCCAGCCACCAGTTATCTCCTTGAAGTCCCCATCCATTTGCTCATGCTCCGCAGTCCCCACTCAAAACAGAGCCTCACCCCACGGGGTCGCAGGGGGTCCACAGTAAGCACCTGCTCAGGACTTGTTGAAGGAAATGTTTAATTAGGAAAGGGGATGCTCCCGTCCTCCGCCCTCTGGAGATGACCATTCTGGGCCCACCTTGCAGACTTTCCTATTTTCTAGGCTTCTATTATACACCACAATTTATTTTGATGCCTCAGAATGTGTTCTAGTGCCTGCCCTGTTCCCAAGGAGGTACCCGGACATGTGCCACTTGGTACTGGCAGTTGGCTCTCCGAAAGCTGCGTAGATGGCATATGTTGCCGCCTGTGGGCCACATTGCACATGCGCTTCTCCTTTGCATTTCTGCTGGTGCCAATCTTGCCCCCAATGCTTCCTAGTGAGGCCCAGATACTCTCAGAGCACCTCACTCAGGACCAGCTCTGTGTAGCCATCAATGTCACAGCAAAGAATGAAGCAGGCCAAACTGTTCCTTTGGGAACTCACACTAAGAGGAGAAACTTTTTTGCCAGGAGCAAAAGATCATGAGTTCAAAGCCAGTCTCAGCAAAAGTGGCTGAATGCCCCTGAGCAATCCCCAGTACCAAAAAAAAAAAAAAGTACACAAAAATAAGGTCAGCATGGCACTGAGCCCCAAGCAAGGCCTGAGGGATGGGCAAGACCAGGACTAGGTGCTTCCCACACAGCCTGGGGACCCTGGGTCTCAGCTTTCTCATTGGCAAAACGGAGTGATAGAGCCCTGGTGAGTCACACAGCCCAGCACCCTGGGGATGCCAGGGAAAGCAGCACAGTAGGCGAGTGTCACCAATCTCAAGCAGGTGGTCTCAAACTCATGTTCTTTGTTTTTTTCCTACTCTATTCAGCTCTGGCTTTTCTACAAAGCAAATCCTACTTCTTCATTCAATGTGTGGCTGGCCTCTAGGGAAAAACTAGCCTTTGATAATGCCCAGGCCTGCCTTTCCAACAATGCCCCATCTCTAATTATGTCAAGATCATCTCAAGTAAAGAGTTCACTGCGTTTGAGTTGTTGTGGTTCATCACGTAGGGATGTGCATATGGGGGAGGGCTGGGAGACATCCCACCTGGGCTCCCCTCGATGCAGAAGCCCACCCAGAGCCTGTGCTCAGGAGCTCACACAGACAGGACAAAGACCACAGCCAAGTGCATAGTGAGCCATGTCCAGCAGAGGCACAGCCAGCTTGGGATGGCAGAGGAGACGGTTGGGCTGGGCAGACTCAGAAGCAACCTCTAGCTGCAGGGGCAGACCTAAGGTGGCCAATAGCAAGGGTGAATGGGGCCAAAGTCCTGCAGATGAGCCTGGCAAAGGGAGAAGACAGAGGCAGGATTGATCACAAGGATGGCTGTGAAGTCTGCCTGGGATGGAAAGGGCCAAGGCCACAGGGAAGGCAGAGGAGGTGGAAAGGACAGGGGTCAGAGTTGGGGTTCACAGGTAGTGTTGCTGCTGTTGACCCCAAGGTCCAGAGAGTGGCTAGTCAGCTATGATCAGGGGCCAGAACCTCAGAGAACATTTCTCAGCGGGAACCCTCAAGTCCCACAGACAAGTTCTCTGTACTGTAGTGGTCCTTGGGAATGAGCCAGCCTGGGACCCACCAGGCTCATGCTATATTCGACACTATACTAATAAAATGTGCTTTTAAAATTTAATCCAACTCCTGGAATGGTGGCCTCACTCAAAATCCCAGCAACTGGGGAGGCTGAGGAAGGAGGATCACAAATTCAAGGTCAGCCTGGGCAAGTTAGTGAGACCCTATCCCAACATAAAATAAAGACTATGGATGTAGCTCAGTGGCAGAGCACTTGCCTAACACGCATGAGGCCCTGAGTGCCATCCCCACTACTGAGAAAAAAAAAAAAAAAGAAAGAAACAAAGGAAGAAAGGAATTTAACCGAAGAGCTATTATTGTCAGTGGGAATCTGAGGCTGAGAGGCATGCCTGAGGCCTCCTGTCATGAGTCCTTGGACCCAGGCCCTCTGACCGCAGGGCTCTCTGACCCCAACCCTGCAGTGGGGCAGGGTTCTTACCGGTGCTGCGTCTCAGGTCGATAGAAGTAGTCCACTGGGGTGTCCAGGCGGGAGAAGATGGGTGGGGGGATGTAGAGCGGCAGCTCTTGGTGGAAGAACACCTCCTTCTCGGGCCTGAGCAGGAGCACTTTGTCATACATCGACATGTGCCTACCGCTGGCTTCCGTGTGTATGGCCAAGTACTGGAAGTCAGACATTCCTAGAAAGAGAAGAGGACAGATGGCAGACACCATGGCCAGGGACACTAACCTAGGACCTGGCAGCTGCCACACAACACCCATATCCCCCAGGGAGGATGGAGGTGGGAGATAAAGCAGCATCCTCCCACATTCCCCATCCTCCCACACTCCCCACATCCCCATACTCTGAATCACTTCCCGTAAAAGCGACTGGGGTGGGGGGGCAGGGTGGTGCTTCTTAACTTGTGGAAGAAACACCTGGGACCCACCTTCTACCAAGCTCTGAGGCTAATGTTGCCAGTCCAGGGCCACTAAGCAGCACAGGCTGGCTCAATTAGAGAGAGATATGTCAAGTGTGGTATCTCAGGGACCACGAGGAGCACCTGTCCCAGAGAGGATGCCCCCTCTCTGAGGAACATGGCTTCCACAGTGTGACTGGCATCCCAGTGCAGCCAAGTGACCCCAGCTCTGCTCTGCTTTGGTCTCCTCTCCACTTCCCATTTTCCCCTTCAACTTCCCTTTTCCCTCCTCAATCTTTAATACTGGAATCTGTAACTTCTGGCATTTCTAAGGCTTACTGGAAATCTGCCATGAGCCTCCTGTGTGCCGGGCCCAGCCCTTTAACAAGCACCATCTCCAGAATCTTCTCAAGACCTAAGCAACTCAGGGCTCTGCAGTCCCCTTGAACAGGCAAGGAGGCGGAGACTGAGGGAAGCAAGTCGTCTGCCCAAAGAACCTGGAAGAGCCCAGAGAGGCCCAACTCCAAAGCCTGTGCTCTTTCTTACCCCACCTCCCCAGGCCCCGCTTATGGCCCCTCCAGGGGCTCCCTGTAATTACCAGCCTGACTCCAGAGGGGAAGCAAGAGCAACACCATCAAGACCAAGATGGTGATCCAGAACACTGGGCACGGATTAGGCCTGCCCTCCAGGCTGATCTGGCCCACAAGGTGGCTTCACTAACACTCAGAGAAAGCCAGAGTCCTGGATTCTCTTAAGAATACAGAAGACTGGACAGTGACGAGCCCCCAGCCCCCAGGGGAGTGCTGGCTGGAGGAAGGAAGGCAGCCTTCAGGACAGTGCCTGTGCTCTACTGCTCCACGTAGGCCAGCCCCCAGGCCAGGGCACATGCTGGCAGCTGTAACTATGAATATTTCTAAGGCTTGCTGGTAATTTGCAATGTGCATTTCACTGGGCAGCTGACCCACATGCCTCCAGAGCAGGCCTGAAAACCCAATGCCTCAGAGATGTCAATTACCCTGAAATTTGTAAATGGTAGAGACGACGCCCAGGATCTCCATGTCAAACTCGACCTTGGAGTAGGCCTCCGCCGGCACCCCTCTCTGCCGCCTGGTCCTCTTCCTGATCCGGAGCAGCAGGCTGCTGGTACTGAACCTGTTGGCACACACTGGGTGGCAGTATGGGTCCTTGGGTCGGAAGTACAGCTCCAGCCTCTTGGTGGGGTCTGTATAGATCTGCAGTGAGGGGAGGGAGACAGGGAAGCAGAGGGCAGCTGAGCAGCCAGTGGGAAGCTGCCCCTCCCAAACCTGTTGGTGACTGAGGAAAGTCAGGAGGCTCATGTTCCATGATGCACGCTTAGTTCCAAAAGGCTCATTTTCTAAACCCAATCGACTCAATCTCTTATCTAGTAGAGAAAAGAAGGGTGAATAGTCTCCCTCCTTCTAAGGGCTTATAAAGATAACAACTTCCAATTAATAAAAGCCACCATCTATCAAGTGACTCTTCTGGCAACACTATCACCCTTGTTTTGCCTTTGAGGTAACTAAGGCTTATGGGGTTGGGCGATTTGTCAACACTACCTACTCCAGGAACCATGCACCCTGCCAGAACTGATTATGGTTTTCAGTCTCATATGCAAATATGTCTAGGTCCAAAGGAGATCAAATTAGTCCTTGTCTCTGAGGAGCAGTCACCTTCAACTTTCAAAGCAAACCTTAAGAATAGTACCCACCTTCCAGGAGTATTACAATAATTAAATTAATTAGATGTAAAGCACTCCTCCTCATGCCTACTTCAGGGTAAACACTGTAATTTAAGTATGAATGAGAGTTTGCCCCATACTGGGAAAGAGGAACTCAGTGTGCCTTTGGAAGCAAGGAATGAGACCATCTGCAAGCTGGCCTGATGGCTGCCCAGCACCCCAGACAGGGTGTGGCCCTCAGGAAATGCTCAGGAACTATCTAAGAACAATGGTTACAAGAGCCTCAATCCTTGGGAATCCCGTTCTCATAAAACACATTTCTCTGCGTCCTGATGGAGTGGAAATGAATGCAGATGTGGGCCTGAACAGAGGTGGTACTCAAGAAATATGAGTAGAACTGATGTCTGATGAAGGGGTGCACTTCCCAAGGGGCTCATACGTGGTTTTGAGTCAGACACACAGGAGTTAAGTCCTTGTTGTATCATTCAAGAGATACTGAACCTAACCTTTCTTACCTGTCTTTAAGAAATAGGAATTAAAACATAGTATCTAACTCATTAGAGTGTTATGAAATTCAATCATACATTTGACAAAAATTAAGAAGAATAAGGCACTCATAAATATTAGGAGTACAGAAGTCAAGGAGAGTTGGGAGTTTACAGCCTCAGTGCCAAGGAGCTGAGACAGACAATAAATGTCAAAACAAAATTTCAGACTGGAATTAAAGTTATAGTGTTCAGAGAAAACCTCTCTAAAGAACAGACATTTCAAGATGTGGTTCATGTAAAGAATACAGAGAGCCTCATTCCCAACTGCCCCACTTGCTGTGTGACCCTGAATAAACTATATTAGTCCCTTATAAAATGCAGCCACTAGCCAGGCACAGCGCCAGATGTCTTCACCTGGAAGCTACCAGGTATATGGTATGTTTGCTACTGGAAGGTTGAGGCAGGATGGAAAGGTGAGGCCAGCCTGGGCAATTTAGTAGAAACTCTGTTCAAAACAAAAATTTTAAAGGGCTGGGGATGTAACTCAGTGATAGAGTGCTTGCTTGTCTACCATGCCTGAGGTCTTGGGTTCAACCCCCAGTACCACCAAAACCACAAATAAGTAAATAAATAAATAAAGCGCAGGTCCGACCCTACACCCTCGTAGGCTCTACGGTAGGTGGAATTTAATTAAAATAGTAGAACGTGCCTGGCACAGAATAAGAGGTCAGCTCGTGCACCTCTAAGCCCAGGGGCGGGCAGGAAGGTAGGCAATTCTTAATCCGGGGCGGGGAGGTGGGGCTTGCTCAACACAGGCCGCGGGGCGGCGGCTTGGCCACGTTCGCGGCGCGGATGCCGAGGGTGCTGTTCATGCCAGGAGACGGGATGGAAGAGGGCCCAGGACCTCTCCTAGATCCTCCCCACAGGGTCCCTTGGGTGCTGAGCGCGCCCTGGGCGCGCGTCTACGAAAACCCGCCCACTGGCCGCAGGCCCCACCTCCGTTGCCAGGGAAACCACATTTCCCATCGAGGCCCCGCCCCTTCAGCCACTGTCTCTGGACTCGGTCCCTCCCCCGCTGTTCAGAAGAGTCCCGCTCTTACTCGGGAGACGCCTTCCTCGCCGCCCAGAGTCGGTAGCATCTTGGCCACGTCGCGCACCACGCCCGGGTACTCCACGCACACCAAGCGCCGCTCCCGCCGCAGATCCACAGGGACCGCGGCCCTCGGCCCCGCATCAGTCTTCTCCGCCGCCATCCTTGCACGCCTAGGCGGACCCGCCACGGTCCCTCCCTCAAAACGCTCCCAGACGCCTCGCCTCAATGGTTCCGCGAAGAAATCATTCCGGCCTCCCTCGCCTGTCGCGTATCCTTAAATCCTCAGGTTCAGAAAGGCTCCAGGGCCTGGGCAGCAAACGCCCCGGGCTAACCGCGGAGACTTTGGAGTGAACCACAGCAGCGCCTCGGACTTTTTTTGTTTAAAACGAAGAGGGCGGGGCCGGGGCTCGTCTCTCCCACCAGCTAGCCGCGGACCCGGAGGATTTTAAGACACCACCCTCGACTTTAGCCAATGAGAAGCCGGGAGCTGAACTGAGATCTTAGCCAATGAGGAGTCCGGAAGAAGTCAGTTTCCGCCCCTTCCTCGCTCCTTGGTATTAGCCAATACGGAACCAGGACTTGCTCTCTTCCGCAGATCCCACCCAGTAAGGGCTTGGGGGCGGGCCTTGGGCTTCTGGCACGCCTCCTCCCGTGGAGAAGAGTTGCCGCGGGCCGCGTTCGATCCGATCCCGAGTCCGCCGGGCGTCGTGGAGTGGCGCTCGCCTCACCTCCCGCACGCAGATCCCGAGCTCTGGGCAGGGCGCTGGCGTCCTCTTACTAGACTGCTAAGCCCCTGCTGTGTGCTGACACGCTTCCGACCCGGCGGGGAAGGTGGGCGAGACTCCGCGGCTGGCGCGGGGCCCCGAAGTCTAGCGGAGCGGGCCGAAGGGGTCGGAGGCCGGACGGCAGGGAGAGGACGTGCCTAGCGACTTGGCCTTTTCGGAGTGAGGCCCGGACCCCGTGAAGGGCTTTCGGCGGGAGCACTATGGCGTTTTGTATTCAAAAGAACTCTCGTGTGGTGTGGGGAGTGTGTCCGAGGGCGAGAGGGGTTCGGGCCAGCCAGCCGAGAAGCCGCGGGATCCTGGCGGAGACGCTCAGGCCGGGGGCCAGGGGAGTGGCCCGGGGAGTGGAAAGAAGGGACTAGATTTGAGGATGTCAGGAGATAAAAATCAAGAAACCCTTTGGGTATAGGCACCCCCGAGTTTTGAAATGGTTTCTGAATTACTCGTCGTTGTGGATGGATTTAAGAAGGCAGAACAAGGCCGGGCGAGGTGGTACAGCCTTGTAATCCTAGCAACATTGGGAGACTGAGGCGGAAGGATCGCAAGTTTCAGGCCATCCTAGATGACCTAGTGAGACCTTGTCTCCAAATAGAAAGGGCTGGGGGTGTGTCTCAGGGTAGAGTGTCCCTGGGTTCAATCCCCCAGTACGCACAAAAAAGGGCTGGGGGAGGAAACGGCAAAGTTTGGGCCACCATATACATTCCAAAAGGAAAACAGCATGATTCCATGTGCAGATGTCAGCCGGGAACCCCAGATCTTGGAAGCAGGATCCCCTGTGAGCAAAAAGAGAATCAGCCAGCAAAGGGTGATGGGTGAGCCAGAAGAAAACCATGCATTTCAACAGAGCTGCCTACTAGGGTGCAGCGGACCTGGCCTGCCTCTGCAGGGGAGACTTGTGCATTCAGCCACAACAAAAGGGGTTCTGTGAAGTGAAGCCAGGGTTCTCCTCCATAATTTTCCTGACCTTGAGATAAAATTTTCCTTCAAGCTTCTCATGTCCTTTTTTTCTCATTTGGTGCTCTCCAAATAGTCATGATGACTTTTTTTTTTTTTCTAGAAAGGAGAATCTGAATAATGTGCATATTTTACCCCTGCTTGCAGTTGTAAATTAACAAATTGGATTTACACCAGACCCCTGTGAGTCTGGTGCACATGAGACAGTCTCAAAGCCTTTGTCACTATCAGTAGAGCTGACATAAAATATTGGATGCACATTGATGCAATATTTGGGACATATATTAAATATTCATTGTTTATCTGAGATTCTGACTTAGCTGGGGTTTGTTGTTGTTGTTGTTTTTGCAAAATACAGCTCCCCTACCTATGGTTGTGGAAGCAATTGAGTTTCTCATCTTGCAAAGCTGATTCCAAACTACCTGGAACTTTAGTGAGCCTGCTCTCCAATCTGATGGTCCTCTAAGTTTTTTTTTTTCTGTTTAATCTCCTCTTGGGGAAGCAAGAATGATTTTTCTAGGTTAAAAATCTCACTCTGTCCCTGTCACTAGTGACTCCCCAACAACTTCTCCCTCCCACACCTGGTCAACTTCTCCTCAGACTTTAAGTTTCTGCTTAGACTTCACCTTGACCCTGAAAGTTAGGTTGGTGCTATTTTCTGTGCTTCTGGCACCCAAATGCACCCCATCATGGAACCTGGTCTTGTATTTTTACTGGCTGTTCTGTTCCACTAAGCAGCAGCTTCCTGAGGGCAGAGACTATCTGGTTACCCAGTGTCTTCACAGGGTGTGGCACAGAGCAGCTGCTCAGGAAAGGTTTACTGAATGAGTGAACGAGGCCTGTGGCTCATTCCAACCTAAAATGCAGTCCATCCCCTGGGTTAGGGGATGGTCACTGGGGTACTCAATCAGGGCTCATCCAGTAGAATAATGTCCCCAAAGTCCACAGGAACCAAGGACAGAATAAAGAGTAGAGGGGAAAACAAGGGCCAACCTCAGAGCGTCAGACCAAGCTTCTGGAGGACAGAGAATTGGTCCTGCCTGGGACCCAAGCAGGGAGGTCAGAGAGGCCAAGAAACATCAGGAACCAGGTTAAAGGAGGCACCATGCACACAGGCACCATTTAGTAAATGCTCCCTACTATGTGCTGGACCTTGTGCTTGGCTCAGACAATGCAGCCAAGAGACCACAGACCCTGCCTCCATCCATATTTGAGTAGCAGAGACAGCTACCAAATAAAAGGTAGCTCAGTAGTAGAGCACTCCCTTAGCATGTATGAAGTCCTGGGTTTGATTCCCAGCACCATCCCCAAAGGGAAAAAGAATCCACCTGTCATAGTACCAAGTAATGCAGCATTAAGGAAAACCCAGGCCCAGTACATTGCTCTGTTTTTCCAACAGGCCCCAGCCCCCTCCTGCAAACCCAGGAGTTCATACAGTAAGCTCTTAAACAGACTTCTGTGCTGTGGGCTTAGAAGACAAGCACCAAACTAACCCCACGAGGTCAAAATGAAATCTAAGCTGAAACCTAAAGAATGAGGAGCAGTCAGCCAGGTGAGGGAGGGACACTAAATAGCAGCAGCCTTTGCTTGTTCAGGTTCAGCCCCTCCTTGGCAGCTGGGGCACGATGGTGTGGGAGCGGGTGGGGTGACCTGTTCTGCACCCTCCACCGCAGCCTCAAGCACTAAGGTCATGCCAGACCCAGCCCTCGGCTGTCCTGTGTCCAACTGATGTACTGATCCATATACTGACCTAGGGGAGGACAGACCGCTGTTCTGCCCTCACGGTGACCCAGGCCAGTGGAAAGGGACTGCTGGCTGATTGGCAAAGTCGAATCCCACAGGCAAGAGTGGTGGGAAAGCCATCTGGTACTTCTGACCACTGTAATCTCCTCTGTCTGTCTTCTAGCCAGGCCTTAAATGCTGAATGACATCAGAGGACCCCCTTCTGTGGTGGTACTGGAATATATATCCTTTTGAGGGGGGGTTCTGGGAATGGAATCCAGGGTCTTGCACATGCTAAGCTAGTACTCTACCATTAAGAGAGACCTCCACCCCTGGATCCCTATTAACCAAGAGGAAAGAGAACTTTTGTCTGTGCTTCTGTAGTGTTGGGGTGTCACTCAGGGGACAAGGCTCTAGCATGATAAGTTCCTGAGTTTCATCCCCAGTGATGCAAGAAAACTCCTTTTGACTTCAGAATCTGCATATTCCTCCTTGAGCTTCTAGGTGGGTCTGTGAAGCACACAGTGGGTGCTTTATATTCCCTAGCCCCACTTGATTTGCTGCACCCTGGACTGGAGCAAAGTTTGGTGTTGGCCACCAGAGGGCCACAGAGCGTCCTTGTGGGTAACACAGCCATCTGGTGGTCACAGGTGCTCATGACACCCTGGGAGAAAAGGCCAAGTGGCTGGCCGGGCATACTGGGGCCAGAGGCCTAGGTACCTGGCAACTCATGAAAAGTTTGCCCTGGACGTAGTCAGCATCCTTCTCTTGAGGAGGTGAGACCCTGCACACTTACACACAAGCCAGGGTCAGGAATTGTCCCACACAGTCCCATCACTGGGTGACAGGTGACAGGGATGGGTCTGTACAGAAGTTTCAGTTTTCTTTTACTTCCAAATGGGACAGATTATTCCAAAGGACATTCTCCTCCCCCATCAACTTGTATTCCAAAGCAAAATTAAACCAAATACACATAGGAGTGAATTTCAAAGTTTGTTCATAAATAGAGATTATGTTAAATATCTTTTTAAATGCCCCTGGTAGAGGCAAATTTAAAATGAAAGTAATAAAATTGAAGGACCAAGGCACATCAATTGTATGTGCCTTTTTCAAAGGCCCTGGGAGGTTCCTGTAAGGAGATGTTTCTATGCAGGCTGAAATAGTAACTCATCTTAGCTGCAGTGGTAAACCAGCTGCACCTGTCCCATCCAGCCAGTGGTCCATCCGGCTGGTCCTCCATCTCACTTCCTCCTGTGTTGGGAGATCCAGGCACTCAGGTGTGGGGGCCTTGGCTAAGGGGAAGCTCACTTAGGAACACGTCTAGTTGAAGTGGAGTGGAATACAGGGGTGTAGTTTGCAGTCCTGGGGTGAGGTTGCTCAGTGGTAGAGGCCCCCTTAGGTTGTGTGAGGCCCTGGGTTAAGCTGTTGCTGGTCATCATGTAGCAATGGCTTCGGGGGATGCACACTCCTTCACCTTCTGTGACAACTCACTGATGCTGTGACATGAAAGGCCAAGGCAGGATAGTGCTTAGAGCTATAATCCAGATGGTGGGCAATTGCACCCCCTGGTAGACGTGCACAACTGGAAAGGGTGGAAAACTGTGGCAGCTCCTCAAATCAGTTAAAATAAGATTGCCCTTGGATACTGCGGCTGGACCCCTGCACAGCCACGCCCATAGTGGCAGCAGTCCCTGCAGCCAGGAGGAGCTGCCCATGTCCCCGTGCTGGATGGGGGAGTAGACCAAGTGTGGTGCAGCCCCGAGGTTGGGTATTACTCAGCCTGAAGAAGGAAGGAGATTCTGACACCGGCTGCCACACAGATGGAACTTGAGGACAGTGCACTGAGTGGATGAGCAGCCATGAAGGGACGAGAGGGGCACAGTGCCACTCTCTAAAGAGGCCTTGAAACCAGGAACCAAAGTAAAATTGTCTTTTAAGTAGTTTTTACAGGTATCTTGTCCCTCCCAAAGCCCCACGTGTTAAAGGCTGGGTCTCCAGCTTGGCCCTGTGGTAAAGGAGTGGGAGCTCTTCAGGGTGGGGGACACACCCTTGAAGGGTAGCGGGACCCCAGCCCCTTCCTCTCCTCTTTCAGTCCCTAGCCATCAGGCGAGCATTTTGCTCCACCTGGCACTTCTGCCATGGGGCACTACCCCTCCCCCCAAAACAACATGTCCTCTTGACCACAGGTTGGAGCCTGCGAAACTGTGAGCCAAAGTACGCCTGCATGAGGGGGCCTTGTGTCCGTGATGGGGCTGACCAGCACGCCTGGCCCAGCATTAGCAACAGTTTTGGAAGCTGATAAGTTCTTTACTAGCAGTAACAAAGAACAAAACTTGATCAGCCACACCAAGAACTCCATCCTCTCTGGAGAAATCACAGAGACGAGCAGAGAATGCAGCCCAAAAACCTAGCCGAAAAGTAAGGACAACCAACACTTCATTAATATAGATACACTTTATCTGGGTTTTGCTGCTTTATAGAATTGAAAATTTGTTTTAATTTTCAATTATCTTTTTTATTCACACCTAATTTTGATTCTTTTTGGAGGGAATGCTGGGGGCCAACCTGGGGGCCTCATGGCTCCTGGGCAAGTGCTCTGCCATTGAGCTGTGCCCCAGCTCTGTTTTGTTTTGTTTTTTGGTACCAGAGATTGAACCTAGGAGCACTTAACCACTGAGCCACATCCCCAGCCTCTATTATATTTTGAGACAGGGTCTCTCTAAGTTGCTTAGGACTTTGTTAAGTTGCTGAGGCTGGCTTTGAACTTGTGATCCTCCTGTCTTAGCTTCCCAAGCCTCAGGGCCAGCCTTGGTTTTGTAGACCTAATTCTGAATGCTTTGGCTTGAAAAAGACACTAAATGATATAAGCTTAAGTTCTGCAATTGCCTGGAAGAGGCACAAAAATATGTGTGTCAAATGAGTACAGCCACAGTCACACAATGAGACCTGGGTCAACAGACCAACCTCCCATGGTGGCTCCATGAGATACTGTCACTGGGGAGGTTGCAGCAGTCTGGGTTTGTGCAAATACACTCTGATGTCTGCATGGGACAAAATGGCCCAATGACCTGTTTCTCAGAACATTTCCAGGTCCTCTACAACACTGAACTGCATGTGAGTGGTGGTGGCTGCCCCTCCTGGAAGCCTCTCCACATTGACACCGTCCAACTCTCTTGCCCTGACTTCATGTTTCTCCCACTCCCACCCTGATGCATATTGGTGGCATCTCATTTTTAGAGAAAAGGGAAAAGAAAAAACATTTGGGGCTGAGGACAGTGATAAAGCACTTGTCTAGCATGTGCAAGGGGGTTCCATCCCCAGCACTACAAAACTCATACACACACAGAGACTTTTTAATTGAAATATAACCAAAAGCATGTTGTCTTAGTCCATTTTCTGTTGCTAGAATGCAAGGCCCCAGATTGGGTAATTTATAAAGAATAGAGGTTTACTCAGCTAGGGTTCTGGAGACTTGGAGGTCCTGTGTGGAGGGGCTGCTTCTGGCCAGGGCATCTTGATGGGGGCCAGGGCTCTGTCTGCAGTGCTTCCAGCTGCCAATGGTGGAGCTGGGGTGTCCAGCAACAAGGAGGAGAGAATTGTCACTGGCCCCATGCCCTGCTGACTGACCCTCAGACAGGAGGAGAGACAACAGAGGCATGCTGCTGTCTTAAGCAACTCTCTTTGGGAACCATTTGTTTTGTAGCCTGTGTGAACAGAGCTTGCGGTTCCTGGTTCTGCACCACTATGGACCCAGCTGCTGGAACGCTGCCCTGCAAGTCATTCCTGCTGCCGTGAGCCAGATGCCGGGCATGGAGAAGCTGGGTCACCTGGAGAGTGAGTGCTGACCTGAGGGGAGACTGAGGCCCTGTTTTCCATGAGCCTGCGCCATCTCACACTTCCGCCAGCCGCACTTGAGAGTCCAGCTACACTTGGTGTTCAGTCATTTCTCATTACCTTACCACTGAGTGGCAGTTCTGTCTCCTGTGTCTTAAGTTTGCATTTCTTTCCTCCCTAGAGATATTGAGCAGGCAGGTGCAGTGCCCACACCTGTAATTCCAGCTGCTCAAGAAGCTCAGGCAGGAGGACTATTTCTGGGCAACTTTGAGACCCTGTCTCAAAGATTAGACAGAGTGGGGATATGTGGCTTAGTGGTAGCACTGGCCTAGCATACATTCAGTACTGGGTTCAATCCTCCAGTACTGAAAAAAAAAGTTTTAATTGTGCAATAGTATTATAGTTGCAAAAGATTTGTTTTGGTTAGTGTTTTCACAGTATATGAATATTTTTATATTTTCACAGTACATACATTTTTTCATCTTTCCACTTTAAATCTTTCCTATCCTTATATTCTTATAAGCAGCATGTAATATTGTTTTTCCTTCCTGTTTAATATTCTTTGTCTTTTAGTTGGAATATTTGGTTTTTTTACATCTAATGTAATATTGATGGATTTGGATTTAAATCGTTCATATTACTATTTGTTTTCCTATCTATCCTATGTCCTTTTCCTTCCTGTTTCTTACCTCCTTTTATACTAATCATATTTTATTGCTTTATTTTACCTCTAACAAAAAGTTGCGTCAACTTTTACTGGTCACCCTAGAAATTATAATATGAATCCTTGGTCTAATACTGTAGAGTTATCATGTCAATCATGATACAGAATATTTCAATCACCCCGAAACATTCTCTTGTTTCTTTGTAGTGAGTCACTCCATCAACCAAGCAGGGGAAACAGGGCTCTAGGGGATCAGTGGGTCCTCTGCATCACTAACCAAACCCTAAAACTCCTAGCATGGGCCAGAACTTGACAGCTAAGGCTGGGTTATGGGACTGTCTGCCAGAGATGACTGAGGAAGCACGTGAGCCCAGGACTCATCCACAGGGGCCATGCTGGGAGGTGCTCTCCCCCCACGGTTACCTACAGGGGGAATTTCCCCAACGGTGGGACAGGGGGTCCTGGATAGTCAAAGGGAGAAAAGGTAAAAGATGCTCAAACTGAACTCCTCCTGTAGCCTCCCAAACCTCTATTTTTTTTTTACATTTTTATTTGAGCATTATAGTTAAACACAATAGTGGGATCTTTATCATATATTTTACATGTAATTTGGTCATTTTCATTCTCCAAAACCTTCCCTTCTTCCCAGACCTCTTTCTCCTGACCTCCTGCTCCAGGGATTCCTTATTCTTCCCTCACCCACCCCCTTGGAACAACAGCTTCGGAAACCTGGGTGTCAGCTGCCCCCACCCCAGCATCCTCCGCTGCCAAAGGCATCAGGGACCTTTCTCCTGCCATCCCTTCTTCCCTCTCAGCTCTACCACCGTGGACTGCCTCCTACCACCCTCCCACATTCACTTACACCTGGGGACAGGTAATCACACAAAAGTGATTCAAAATTCAAAAGTCACCAAAAGGTACTCAGCAAATGTCTCCCTCCTGCCCCCCCAGACTCTGAGATCTTCTTTTCTCTGGAGTGACTGACGTGAGCAGTTTCTTGCTTCTCTCTCTGGAGATCATCTACACAGCTATAAGGAAAACTGTACCTAGATTCCCATCCCCTTTGAAAAAGTGAGTGGGTTTTATTATTCTCTTTGTCCTAACAGTTGCACTTACTGGCTTCCCTTGAGGTTATAACAGACTCTCTGATCTATTAAAGTCAACAATCAATCAGTTGACCGCAAATGAAAGCTCAGCGTGCACGCCCTCCCCACCTTCCCTTTTCCTTGGCAAGGCAGCATGGAAATTACTCCATATCCATTCACCCAGCACTTCCTCATTTCTCCCACAGACCCACACTGTGCCCCTGTCTGCTGGACCTCCATTTCCTCAGCCAGCCCTCTCCGATGGGCACTTAGGTTATTTCCAGGCTTTATCCAGGGCAAACACTGCTGTGATGAATGGCTGCCGTGTGTCCTCTCACACACAAGCTGGCTATCTGTGGGACTGTGTCAGGTCGAAGACTGTGTGCACCTGTGATTTGGTTATACCTGACTACATTTCCTCATTGGGGTCACAGGAGCCTCTGAGGCATGAAGCCATCCTCCAGCAGTGACCCAGAGCTGAAGGTGCTGGTGTGTGTGTGTGGGGGGGGTCCCTAGGACCCTGAGCTGTTCCTTCCTGAGGGGCTGTGGGACTCCCCTCTAGCAACCCCCATAGCCATAGGTTTTTGTGCTTCATTCACCTTCAGGATTGCCCTCCCCACAAAATCAGAGGGATTCTCTTCCCAAAACTCAAATCTTGATTCCTCACTGACCTGCCTGAGACCAGCTGCGACTCCCTATGGTTCTGGGGTGGAACCCAAACCTTCAGCAGACTCTAGGGATCTTCTCTTTCCATCTCCTCCCAACCTCATCAGTTTCACCCTCTACTCCCAGTTCCTAACCCTGCAGCTCCAGGGCCCTCCCAGGACCTCTTCAAAATGCTGGAAAGGTTCACCTAGAAAGGTGTTCATAGCCAGAATTTTGAAGAGGTCTCTCCCTGCAACACACGGGCCGCCCTCTACCCCTGGACGGATGGTTTGTCGGGCTGGTCTCTTGGGGGGCTTCTCCTGGAGCCGGGCCCAGACTAGACCCGCAGCTATGCTGGTTGATGCGCACCGGGACCGCACTCGCGGGCAGCCCCGGCGCGGCCACTAGGGGGCGCCGTCTCCCTCGGCTCCGACTGCCCTGGCACCTGGGAGTGACCGGCCACGCTGGAGCGCTGCAGGGACCTGCGGGTCACGCGAGGAAGGGTGAATGACCGCATCATCAGATGCAGGCCGTCCACCCGCGGCCTGGGACAGGGGAGGGAGAAAAGGAAAGGAGGTGGGAGGGATGCAGAGAGGGAAGGACTGGGGCAGGGCTGGCCCTTTCCAATCCACTGCCCTTCTGCTCACCCCTTGCGTGCAGCCTGCCCAGCCACACTGCAAGACCTTGCTGCGCAGTCCCGGGGTCCCAGGCGGAGAAAGGCCAAGAGGCCAGCCCCCAATTCTAGTTTCCTGGAGTGCTGGGCAGTGGTCCTTTGAAGTTCAGTCCAACTTTGGCAAGGCTGTGCCTCAGTTTCCCCATCAGGGATAAAGGGCTCCTGCCACTCACTGAGGGAAGAGCTGAGCCAGCAGTAGGCCCCACAGCAAGGACCTGGGGGGGGTGGATGGTGCCACTGGGCCCGCTTCCAGGATGCTGAGTTCAGGCCAAGGCAGAGCGCTTCCCACACACGGGGCCTCCTCCAGGGCAGCTCTGGGCTGGGTCTCTAGCATCCTCCCCCCATGGCCCAGGAGACAGCTCCTAACCAGGTCCACGAGCTCAGGAGGGACTGGCAGTGGTTCTGAACTCCAGCTCATATCCCGAGCAAGACACCAGGAAGTCCCACCTGCACAGGCAACTCCAACTTTGACCCAGCCTCAGGTCCCTTTGGGAGGGAGACCCATGTGTCCATCGCCCATTGTAAAGTATTTCCTACTGGATACTGGGGAGATAAGGGGGACCTTTGTAGAATGAGTTCGCACAGCTGCTTAATGACAGTTATGACCAGCATCGGAGGAAGATGCCTGCGGGCTGTGAGAATCTGCAGAGGGGAACGGAGGCTTCTGTGGGGTGCAGGTGTATTGGGACTGGAGTACAGAAAGAGAAGAACTGGGGACACTGCCTCCAGGCAGAGGGAACAACACTCCAGGGGGCTCGGAGGGAGGCAAAGCCAGCCTGGGAGGACCCTGGTGTTCTGGCACTGCTGCCTGGCGGGCGCTGGCTCACCCCTAGAGCGAGGAGGCTCTCCTGCAGCACTCCCACAGCCTGCTCCCACCCCAGCAGGGCTCCCTGGATGTTGGCTATGGGTCCCGGGGCCATGGCTTGCCCTGTCACCTGGACTGTGAGCTGTTGGGGGCTGGGATCTGGTCCTCAAAGTCTTGATTCAACACAGACCAAGGGCACACCATGCCCACTGGCTTTGTTCTTCCTTTTGTAGTGTGGCGTTGTTGTGAGCATGCTGAAACACAATGACGAACTTTGCCATCTCAGGCCTTTCTTAGTGTCATCTATGGCATTAAGTACAGTCACATGGTTTTATAGCCATCACACCCTCGACCTATAGAACGCTCTCCTCCAGTGAGGCTGAAGCCCTGTCCTCATTAAACCCTAACTCCGCACACCCACCCTCGCCCCACCAGCTAGCCCTCTGCAACTACAATTCTGTCCCCTGAACCTAACTGCTAAGGGACCGCGTAGAGGCAGGGTCCTGTGGTCTTTTCTGTTTGGCTTATTTCACTTAGCACAATTTCGTCAAGGTTTTTCCATGTCCTGGCAGATGTCAGAATACCTTTCCTTTCTAAGGCTGAATTACATCCCATCCTATGGATGGGCCCCTTGTGGGGACTTGGGTAGCTGCCACCTCCTGGCCACTGTAAACAATACCACCCTGCTGCCCATCAGCTTTCCCAACCTCTGGTTCATGCCTTGGCCCACTACACACGCAATGAGCAATTTGGTTTTTGTTTTATGTTGTTTTGCGATGCCAGGGATCAAGCCCAGGGCCTCTCACACATGTGCTAAGCCAGTGTCCTAGCACTGAGCTACACCCCCAGCTGAGCAGTTGGCGTTTTGCAAAATTCTAGAGTTTCTTAACCATTCTCTTCTTTCTACACCTCAGGGACCAAAGCCCAGTGGGAGAAAGGGACCTGTCGAGGTCATGGCAGGAGGGCTTACGTATGCATCAGGCCCCCAACCAACACTAGCACCTTAGTGGTTTCTGCTCCACCCCCGTGGTCCTGCTGTGTTCTGGAGGAAATGACCTGGACCTGCTTCCACAGATAATAAGTCTTTAAATGGCTGGAGCTGGGCGTAATGGCGCATGCCTGTAATCCCAGCAACTCGAGAGGCTGAGGCAGGAGGATCTCAAGCTCAAGGCCAGCCTCAGCAACTTAGTGAGACTGGCTCAAAATAAAAAATAAAAAGGGCTGGGGATGTAGCTCAGGGTAGAGCACCCAAAAAATCCCCAGCATCAAAAAA